GAGGTGAGGGGGGGTGGATGGCGGGGGCTGCGGTGAGGGGGGTGGGGGGGGCAAGGCGAAGGTGTATGAAAGCAAAGGCACTCCAAACTATAGTTACACTATACATGACTAGTTCTTGTTACAATAATACAGCTGTCATCTACTGTACTGTACAGGTAAGATTGAACATATGGCTGGATAAAGCTGATCATCATCATCATCATCTACAATATCCATAAACAATATCAGTTTCGCCCTGATTCTGTTTTTTTTGTTTGTTTTTTTTCATTTCTTTTCCTACCCTTTGTCATCTTTGTTTTTGCTCATAAACAGTACATGGGTCTGCATATATACATACCTTGAACACAACATGGAAAAATAATAATCAACAGAACAACATAAAAAACAACATACAAGTCATACAAGTCAGAATTTTGGTGAGGAGCATTTATACTGTATATACAAATTCTGCTTTTTCTTTTCTTTTCTTTTTATTTTAAAATGTAGTGAGTATTCTCTGTAAATAAGACGCTTCGACAGACTGTACCGAGTGTCTCTATGTGTGCTCTAGGAGGAGGAGAAAGAACGCTAGGCTAACACTTCAGTCAGTGGTCACAATACATGAGACAGTCCGCGACGAGCGAAAGACTTCTCAAGGACTCGAGGGAAGAAAAATGTTAGGAAACATCTTGAATTCTTCACAGAGAAAGAGAGAGAGAGATAGAGAGAAGAAGAGCTAGACAAGGGAAGATGTCTGTCTAGACACTGCACTGTCACAGGCACACTGTTACAGACAGAGTCGGTACAAAGACAGGGAATAGAGCAATGCCCTAAATTCCATCTACAGCCTTAATACAGATAACACAGGAGAACAGGGAAGTGAGTGCTGGAATCTAACCACACTCCAGCAAAACAAAACAAAACAAAAAAAACACCACCTCATCTAAATCTATTGTCTTTAGGCAACGGCAAATATTGCCACTGCTCTGCCAGATATGAGCTCACCATAAATGATTTCTGAACCATTGTAGTTAATATACATATATCTATATATACTTTTTATACATAAGGAAAAGTAATATAAATTGTGTATGTATGCATGTTTGTTTTGTATTGTATGTATATATTATACAAGCACACAGGACCAGATACATGTCACATCCATCGCACATGGCAATCCAAAAACATCTGCCCAGGAGTACAAAACAAAAATTAAAAACAAGGTCGGGTAAAACAGCTTGCTAACCATTTAAAAACAACCCCGGGCAAAGAAACAAAAAAAAAAACAAACAACCTGTCCAAATGTTACCCCCGCAAGTGGACTGCTTCTTTCCACATACATCAGGATCATCATGCATCCATGTGTGTGTGGATGTGTGTGTGTGTGTGAGTGTGTATGTGTGTATACCCGTGCGTGAGCCTCATGCCTTGTCTGCGGAAGTGGAGGTGAGAAGTGAGAGGGGCGGGGTGACCCCCCCATGTGATCCTAACCATACTCAGGCCATGCACTACAGGAGGAACCAAAGGGGGATGGGGGGTTTGGTGGGGACATCGGCCAGGGTCAGAGGTCAAAGGATGAGGTTGCAGAAAAATGGAACAACATGGAGGAGGACAGAGGGAGACGCTAGACAGGGGAGGGGGCCAAGGGGAACAGCTTAGGACTTTTTCTACAGATTGTCCTCTTACAAACATTAGCAGGCTAGCATTGTGTATACATGTACAGTGTACTTTTATCAATAGTACAGTCGACAACACCTCTGGCCCTGCGCTTTGCTTCCCCCCGTCGAAAGTGCACGGAGAGATGTCTTTGACAGAGGATGGAGTAGTAGAGCTCAAACAGCTGGGTGAGGGGCCAGTCGGGGATGAAAGAGGCAGATTAGGGATGCTTGGTTTGTGGTTGTAGCACGGGACCGTTGGCTAGCTGTCGAACCCGGACTGCGTCAGCATCGCTCCGCTGCTGTCAGGGAGGAGAGCAGGGCAGAGCAGAGCAGAGCTGAGCTCACCCCCTGGCCGGGGCAATGGAGAGGCCGTGGGCTGGGGCTGAGACCGGGGCAGGGCAGGGGTGGTCTGTGGGCTCAGGAGGTGGAGTTGGAGGCTGAGGCAGAGGCGGTGGTGGTGCTGGGACCTCGCTCTGTGCTGCTGCCATCTATTGATGATAATGATAATGTACAATTTACATAAAAGTTTAGTTAGGAGATTGGTAGGTGAAGCGACTGCTTGCAGGTGCAGCATTAATATACATCAACTATCAGTAAAAGTTCAACTTGAAGTTAAATATATTGACCTTTAGAGCTTTACACTGTTTTTCATGTTAGCAGCAACAGAGGTCACAACCAGTGCTTGATAAACAGAGCTTCCTGAAAGAAGTGAGGCTCTAACCTGTGGTGGCAGAGGCGTTGGTTGGGGTAGAGGCGGTGGCCTGGCTGCGGGCGTGGGCAGGGATGAGTATGGAGGCCAAAGATGGATTACTGGATAACTCTGAAAGAAAAAGTTACCAGGTCATGTTTTTACATCTCCATTTTGGATGTAAGACAGCGATCGCGTCAGCCACCAATGAAAACTTCCCAGACATTATATGCACTAATAAGACGGGAATATTTACTAAGGTTAAGAGGTAATAATGCTAAATGGACTCAATAATAATAATTGCTCTTTTGATTTCAAGATCAACTTATGTGTTAACACTATTGATAACGTGATGGCAAAAACTACACAGCAAACACATGCTTAATGCTTTCTTGTTGCATACCCTGGGTGGTGAAATTGAACAGCGAGGGCTTCTCTCTCCCATTGGGCAGTTTGACGTTGGGGTCGCGCAGCTCATCAAAGAAGGAGTGTGCGCAGGCCTCTAGAGGGGTGAGGCGGGCCGTGGGCGTGTACTCCAGCAGGCGAGAGCAAAGGGCGATGGCCTCTGGAGGCGTACGCGGTCGGAACACCTGAACACAGTACACACAAAGACAGACATCAGCGATGAACGTACGAAGTCTATTCTTGAGTGTTGTCATAAAAAGTAGTCTAATATTGTCAACACACACACACAAACACATACACACACACAAAATGAACATGTGTCCTCCAAATTACCTACAGTATATTTTATGAAACCTACTGTGCTGTCAAATGTAATAAGTTGTACGTAGGGGTATTAATTAATGAATGTCTTTGATTGCTGCAACAGTGAACAGTAGTAGTGACTGATCGCAGTTGCAGGGAGCGACCACAGAAGGGCGCCTAAGAGCCCAGAAGGACCTGCTGCTGCCTGCTGATTGGATGACTCTGTTATCCAACGAAAGAGCTCTGGGTGGCAAGGAAGACAGACACATGAGAGCATGAAGTGGGGAAATAATGTGACAGTTCAATAAAGTCAGGTTGACCCGACCGAAGCAAGGACTGACTTAGCAGGATGAACTCCGTGGTCAGTGTGACACTGTGCTGTAACTGAGATGACACAGGTTCAATGTACTCAACCAACCTTTAGAAAAAAACATGTTCATCAGCCAGTCTAAAGAATCTGCCAAACAAAATGTAAAGTAATGTAATGTATTTACCCTTAGCTGCATTTAAACTCACTCTGAAATGTAAAAAAAAAATCATATAGCATATATACATACTTAACACATACTTTTAGCTTGATGGACATTTTTAGCTTAAACAATGGGATTAAAAAAAAAAAAAAGCTTTTAAAGCATTTTGTTTATCCACAGGCGGGGCCGAAAAAAATCTTTACTCAATATCAACAATGGGACAGCTGCTGCCTTTGCATTAGGCCATTCAAAAAGGAGCAAAAAAAATAAATAAAACACATTTGCAGCCATATTGCATGGGTAAACACTCCTCATATTGTTTGATAGCAAGCTTTGAATGCTTCACATGCAGCTTAAAAAAAACACTCAACTCCTTAAGAGAAGAGTTTTATGTCAAAGGTTTTAACTTTTCTTTGCATCGGTCATTCTTCGTAGGGTCTAAAAAGCTCAGTGCAGGCCTCAGGGGGCTCTGCAGGGTGGATGTGATGAGGTTGGATGACTGTGGAGCTGCATGCAGGCATGTTAGCAACACAAACATGGAGACAAAAGATAATGCAGGGGTGGATCTTAGAGAAGTAAAAGGGCTCATGTACCTGTTGACTCACCTTAGTCCAAGGGTGTGCCTTGATCTGGGGGAATTTGAACTCGGTGTAGTTGGGGTTCATCTCGCGGATCTGCTCTCGGGTTGGGGTGCCGAGAACCTGAAAAAAACAGGACAAAATAACAGGATGCGTTACATGTCTTTAACTTGAATTCCTATTCATTTGTGAAACAGAAAATAAAAACCTTTAGTCACGTAAATGAGGACTTTTACGCCCTGTGGGTCACCGTAGCCATTACCTTGATAATTTCAACCAACTGATCCACTCCACTGTCACCGGGGAAGATTGGTTGTCCTAGCAACAGCTCTGCCAGCACGCAGCCGGCTGACCACACATCTAAAAGGAATCGGCAGGTCACCAACAGGAAAAAAAAAAAAAAAGTCAGATATGCACCAAAGGAGGGACAGAGAAGACCATAATCTAATGGTCTCATGCTACAAATGCAGAATACATAACACAGAATGTATTTTAATATTCTCTTTGGCAATATGTGGTCTCTTTTACAATCTAATAAATCACAAGAAACCTAATAAAATCATTTAGGTGTTGAGGTTAAGCTTATGAAGTGGTTTACGGGTAAAGTGTTGACTGTGACAGCTGCAGTCAGCCTACCTATGCTGGAAGTGTAGTCAGTCGCACCAAAGATGAGCTCAGGGGCTCGATAGTAGCGAGAGCAGATGTAGGACACATTCGGCTCTCCACGGACCAGCTGCTTAGCACTGCACACAAAATAAAAGCACGTAATTATCATCATCACCATCCTCACCACACGCTGCTGCATTATGGCCCAAAGAAGCGGAGTATGAATCTAGAGAACATGATTCACACATGTGAGTACGGAATAAAATACACAATACTCCTCAATTAACGGTTAAGCAATACATTTAAAAAAAGTGGGGTTATTGTAAAGGAACATTTTTTTGCCACATTTAAACTCTTCAGATGGACACGTTACAGCATCCATGTCTCAGCTTTAGGAACAAACTCTGTAGTTTGAAGTTTTGGGAAATACACTTATTTGCTTTCTTGCTGAGAGTTAGATGAGAAGATCAATACCACTCTCACGCCAACAGACGCTTAGCTTAGCATAAAGACTGAAAACAGCTAGCCTGGCTCTGTCGAACAGTAAAGAAAGTCCCCAACCAGCACCTCTAAAGCTCACTAATTCACACTGTAAAAACTACAGGTAGGCAGTTATGTACCAGACTACTTCTTGTCTGGATGCAGTGACTATCTGGAACCACGATGAAGTTTCCAGGCAACAGCTGTATAGGTGCTGGTAGGCATAACTTGTTAAGGTAGAGCCAGGTTAACTGCTTCCCCAGTTTCCAGTCCTTCTGCTAAGCTATGTGTGCTAGCTTGTGCTAAGCACTATTCCTAAGTGCCAGGAAATACCAAACCACTGCTGTCAAAACTTGATAAAACGCGGTCAGTGCGTCTCACCTGCCAAAGTCGCAGAGCTTGAGAACGGCGGTCTCTGGATCCAGCAGCAGATTCTGGGGCTTGATGTCCCGATGACAGATCCCAAACGAATGGATGTAGGCCAGGCTCCTGAACAGCTGGTACATGTATAACTACATAAAGAAACACACAGGTTACAATTACACAATTTATACAAACAGCTCAGTTTTTATGACAGGGTTCAAGTCTGGAAACAACCACTCAAGAATACATTTCAGGCCGGTCAGAAGAATAACAAAGTATCAAAAAATTCCTGAACCTTGTTACGAGGCATTGCAGAAATAAAAGACCTGTTTCTCCCCTCAGGTTCAATCTGAAACTGGTGATTTTGGTGCATGGTGCATGGGGATATATGTATACAAACACTAATTCTATGTTAGATGTAAATAGAATTTCCTCCAACACAGAATTCAAAATAAAAGCATCATTATAGAATTTAGTTTTTCTTATAAGCATCTTAATCAAGCTCATTATTTTCTTAATATAGCTTCCTTGTGTTAATATGGTGAGCCAAAATGTGCGAGGGTTCCATTTCCTGTGATAATGAATATTCATATTGGTGCGTGTAAATAAAAAGGTAACTGTGAGTGCTTCTTCCGCTCAGTGGGATTTATTAACTAGGTGTTTTTTTTCCTATTATTTCAGTGATATTGGAAAAATATTAAGACTGAAGAGACAATGTGCAGTGAGTTTTTTGCCATTGCAAATTATTCTCACATTTGGCTCTCATATGTGTCACAGCCAGAGAAATACTCGAAAAGTAACAAGTGTTCTGTGCGCACGGCATGCAAACAAACAAATTTCACACAGTGTGGAACACAGAAATCATATCAGAGCCCGGATGGGTAGTATACAGTGCTGTAAAAAAGGTCCAGTCATACCTTTACGTTTTGCATATTTTGTTGTACAAATGATAATACTGTGACATTTTTTATTTGAGAAACAATATTTTCTTTTACAGTAAAGCGAGAAGAATCTGTTTATTTTTGCAAAGTTAAAGAAACCCCTATGTCCCCTAGCAGTGTGGTGAAATTAAGAAAATGAAATGTCATAATCTTTAATTATGTGAACATAGGTAAATTGTGTCAGTGAGAAAGTTTTGATCAAATATCATTTTACATCTTCTTTTGCTTATAACTCATTTAGCCTACAGATGCAGGCATTGAACTGAAATTCACACTCAGAACAGTAAATCTTTCCAAATAAAAGCTGATAGCAGGTCAGATTTAAATCTAGAAAACAAACATACTATGTGTGGTAGGTTTATGGATGCTTTAGGGTTCAGGTCTTATGTAAGAATAAATGATTACACTCTCCATACTTTGTCCAAACTAACACAGGGCATATACAGACGTCTGTCCCGTCCACTGTCAGGGAAGATAAACTGAAACCATCTTGTGTCTAATCTTGGTTAAACTAAGAGGGGGATGATCATTTATTTTGTATCTAGACTAAAACCATCAAAGTAAATCTGACATTGAACATTGTGCTCATGTTTTCAGAAACAGAATACATCCTCGACCTTAAAAATTCACTGAGACGTTGGTTTGATCCATTATTAGATGGATGAGAGAGAATTAATGTTACAGAAATGAAAGTCTCATCACATATTTTTCACAAACACAATGAAGCATAAATGTCACACTTGTTTACTTTGGATATAAAATACTTTTTTTGAGGGGTGTCCAGACATTTTGATGGCACTCTACTGAGATAGCATTGATGCTACAATAACTGATTGAATACATATCTGATTAAATATTGTCCCCAGTCTTGTTAATAAAGTTACAAACACACACACCTTGACATAAACCATGGGCAGAGTCTGTTTGGCTCGGCTGTAGTGTCTGGCCACTCTGTAGACAGTCTCAGGAACGTAATCCAGAACCAAATTCAGATACACTTCGTCTTTCTGTTGGAGAGAACCGAAAACAAGGAAATCAATGTCACACATGCACACACACACAAATGGGGAAAATAACTTCTTTATACAAATCTTTTATATGCAAATCCAATATAAATCCTACATAAGAAATTAATAATAATATAATATTAATGCACACATCCAGCTGCTCAGTATGTATGCGTTATGTCTTTCCCTGCTGAAAGAAGCTGTTCAGCTGTGTGCTGATGTAACTGATGGTTTTTTTTGCATTTTAACTGGGGATCCATTGTATACGACTCATTCCCCGAGGGCCGGATGCGTCATAGCGGCCTGAACTCCGACAACGGCCGTAGACAATGATATCATTTCCTCATTTCCTGGTTGGATGGGGCCTGCGTTGGAGGGCGGGCTTGGGCACGTTCTACAGAGGAGCACAGTGACCCTGAGAGGATGCTGGATCTGAGGCTTCTCCACCCAATTATTCTAGGACTTCCTTTTTCCTTTGATTCTGACCAGACTTAGCAAGCGCTGAGTCATTGGGTGTTTCTTGCGAATCCATTGTTTGAGGTCTACAAGTCAAGACTGCAAATCAGACTTATAGCTCGTAACTCATAACTCGCATACTCATTCATACATTCACAGCTAGTTTGACTTGTATGTCCCTGGTGGTTTGTCAGGAGTAAGTCTTGTCTGACACATTTTTGCCTGCTTAAAAGGGTTGGGTAATGGGACAGAAACAGGCTAGATCTATGCATAATAAAAGGTTTTGGGCTGATTTAATCACCGATTGATCGCCTGAATAAGTGCCTTTATACATTTCCTTCAAGTGTGCCATTATAATAGATTTTATCTTCTGTCCACAAATCCCATCACAATACCAAAACCAACAACGTTTTAGTCCATCCCTCAATACTTAAATAAACCTCCCTCCTCTGTGAGTAATGGTCTTTAAAAAGGCTCAAGAATATGGTTTCATTTTCTTAAAAAGCTCTGTAATAACTTAAAACAGCTGAGCACTGTGGTTTTTCATTTTAATAGTAGTAAACAGCTCATTGGGAGCCATTTTTAGCAGTGGTTTAATACACATTTGGTTAGCTAGTGAGTTTTTACAACAGCAAAACTGTGTATCTGTAATTGACTTTAAATAAACTGCAGTGCAACAGTGTGGCTCATGTGTTTTTCATCATTTACGGACAACAAAGGGGGTAGAAGACAAAGATGGATAAGCTGTATAAGGAATTAGACACACAGGCCAGCTTTACAGTGCCTAAATATCGCCAGCGTTATCCTTTCAAACGCTACCTGCACAAATGTCCTAAAACACCTGCAGTGCTTTATTGTGAAGTGGCTTTCAATCAATGTGTATTGGCTCTGTTGAAGTGATTTTTAATCAATAAACTGTACTTTTGTAGATCAGTCATAAACTGTACTGTTTTTGAAGCAGTTCACTGGTTTTGAGTCATACTGGCATAGAGAAAAAAAATCTTAAATTGTGTTCTGTGGTCACTTAACATCACCATCTGGGAAATTAACCTCATGTAATAGTGTCAGTGACAAGTGCTGTTGACCAGTATCCAACCATTAAACACACATGATACATACTGCCTTGGGGTAATAACGCAGGGCTTCCAACTTTAATTAATTTAATTATTCTCTCCCTCCCATCCAGTCCAGGGCCATATCCTTTTGCCTCCTCTCCATCTGTTAGTAGTGTTAACAGTCTGCCCAACATGCAGCTTAAGCGATGGACAGAGCTGGCTCCCTGCAAGTCTGCAAAGCACAATGAGAGAGCTGGGCCTGTGTGAAGAGCTCCCAGACAGACTGCGCGGTACACTTCTGTCAGCTCAATGCCCTGCTTTGTACTGACTGCTCTCTCCCATTCAATTTAGACACATATATGGTGACTGAGTGAAATACAGAGGACTGGGAGACAGGCTGACACAAATGGGTGCAGATATCAGTGACGATGAGCAGCATTTCCTAAAATGCTCTCAGACATTAGGTGGCCTCGTTTACACACTTGTCTGTCACTGGCATCGGCCTCCCCCCCTAGCACGCTGTCTGTGTGTGTGCACCAATTCTTCCTCCACTAGCAAAACTCCCATTGATAACATGTGTGTGACGACTAGAGGGCCCACTCCGCCTCCTGCTAACGCCACCAAAGCTATATTTAGCCTAGCAACAGCGATGACTCACTTCCTGCCTCACTACAAAGCCACTTCCTTGGCTTGTTCCCAGATGGTTAGCCGGGGGCGGGGGTCTGATTGGCTCCTTGCTCACTCCTGACTAAATAATTCAAAATAATTCTGAAGCCTCTAATTTGCTGGGAAAACAGCTTGCACCTGAACGACTGGCTCGGCTGTCTTTCAATCACCGTGCTACGTTGTCCAGGAGAGAAGGGATAGATGGAATCTGTTTAGCATCTAACAGACAGTATACGTGGCAGTTTGCACAAGCAAGCATAGCCTCTTGCTCCTTGTTGAGTATACTCGACATATTAATTGACATAACACATATGTGAATCCACATGATTAGAGAAACAGTCAATTAATGAATCTGGGAAATCTGGGAACACAGACAGAGGCAAAGAAGGAGGTAGACGTACATATGGCGAATGAATTATCCTTATTTGACACACACCAATGAAGGCACAACATATCTAAGAATAAATCTATAAATATGTGCAGGGGCCACAGCCAGATATGTGTCAGGCATTGGCTCTGCCATAAATTCTCACTTGTCTCTCACTGTTCCGTGGCAAATCTGTAGATTCACTATACCAGACCTCGTTAGCCAGAGGAAACGCTGTTTAACCACCGTCTGTCTATTAACGTCAGTATGTGTGGATGTATGTTGGAACACCGGTCACTATAGAGCTTCACTGTAATGGTGAGTGGGAGATAAACCTGCTAATAGGGCACCAGGACAAAAATAAGATGTGGGCCCATCCTGGAATTTTATTCTGTCCTAGGCAGGATACAGTGGAGGTACTTTGAGTAAACATACATTCATTTAGAAATATGCACCATGTGAAAGCAATGGAGGATTTTATCGCAGATTTTAGCCCTTCAGTTTATATTCTGCTTTAGTGGTCCATATGAGGTTGACCCTGTTTGGGGCCCTGAGGCAGCTGTCCACTATCCATCCTAAATATGACATCTCAGTGGTTTCATCATGAAACTACAAAAGGAGGTGTCAGTTCTGCTCAAAGGCAGACAAAGACTTCTCAGCAGAGACAAACAGCTCAGGCATGTCCTCCGTCTACTCAAGCAGGTTGGATTAGTGCGTAAAGTGTGCAACTGCCTCAGGGCCCAAGACCTACAGGGGCACCAAGTAGTCTGTTTTTCAATTATTTGCACATACTGTACAGTAATTTGATTAATTGCAGATTTTTATAGAAAGCTGCAATAATACGGTGCAATACCAACATTAGTGGGTTATTATCTGCTTTATGTTGCGGGATATTTCTAAATAAAGGTGTATTTAATCAAGAAAGTTGATGCTATGTATGATTGTATGTCAGAGATTCAAGTGTAGTTACTAAAAGCGATTGTGTATATAGACAAAGCGGAGGGCAACTTCGTGTCAGTTGAACGTCTTATGCACTCTCTTTGCGACAGCATATTTTGAAGAGATAAAAGTCAAACCGCTATTTGCCTACCTGCCTACGCTGTTTGGACCTGTGGCCTTCTGTTTGAACAGCATTATACAAGTGGTTAAAGGGTAAAAGCAAAAGCACACGGTGTATGTCAAGCACGCCACATGCCAGCAGTTACATAAGACTACCTGTGCACATGCTGACGGATACAGCAGCAGTAGTCCTAGCCTGCCTCACAGCTGCACCCAGCATGAACCATCAGGACACAACAGCTCCTACACCCACCTGACCTGACCACATCTCATCTCTGTCCCACCCTCTGCTTTTCTTTCCCGTCATCTATCCATCCACTTGTCTGAAATGTATCGGTGACATTACCTTTTGCCTAATTCACTAGCCCTCTTTCTTCTCACTCCAGGCTCTATGGGTGGTAAATCCCCGTACCAACAACATGGTGCCAGTCTCCATAATTAGCCTGGAGTGAGACGCTGAGGCGGAGGCGGAGGAGGAGGAGGTGGGGGATGGAGAAATGGATACATGAAAGGGAACACAGGAGGGGGGATTTAAAAAGTGTAAAGGTGAAAGCAATGAAAGTTGTGGATTATCAAAATAACAAAATCCTGTGACTGCAAAACTCAAACCGGCAGGGTGTAGGTGTATTAGTAGTATACCGAGAATTAGGCGCGATTCCCAGAGGTCAGTGTGCACATGGCACGAGGCGAGGGGTGAAGCAACTGGGTGGAGCTTACACCACGGAGGGGGTCTATAATTAACCATATCCCTTTGGTCTCGCAAATAGAGGCCCCTCCTACCCATCTCTCAGCGTCCCTCCTCCTGCCCACCCTCACCATCACCTCTCCCCTATAATCCCCCACAGCTTTCATTGCCTTCAGTAAGTGTGCAACATGGAAGCATTCCTCACTGAGGTGTCATGGGTATAGTCCCAGCAGCGCGTGTGCCAAGTTCATGTCTATATTTGACACATGGAGCTCTGCCTGTTTGTCAGCTAGTTGAATGACATAGTCCAGCCTTGTAGTCTCCAGGGGACCTCCAATGGTCGAATGAGGCAGACATTAAGGCCGGGCCACGTTCAGAGAGAGGGACTTCCCTGTCCCCTTCCCTTACCCCTGTAATGTAATGTACTGTACTGTACTAATGAATTTATTAAAAAGGCCCAACAGGCCAGGTGGAACATATTTGATAGGAGATGGTGCAGCTGGCAGAGAGTTCAAAAGGCAACAGAGGAAACATAAACTAAACTAAACTAAACTAAACTAAAGCTATATCTTATATAAGTCCTGAACATGAGAGCAAACTAAATTATTTTACTACTCTGACTGAAGCAAAGTGCTCAGTCATTTAAACACACAGCAAGCCCTGGGAACATTAAGGTGCTCTTGAAGATAAACAAGAAATACTCTTTAAGCAGTCTTAGACAGAACAAGGATAGAAACACCTTTTCTGCCTCTTTATGGCTATATATATTTAAGTAATATAAACAGTGCAAACTGTAATATGTCAAATGATAGATTCATTGTTTAGATTTAACAATATATAGAGGAGAGGACAAAGAGAGTTGCATTTTTTGAGCCAACAAAATGCAACTGATATTATGATTAATTTTACCCCTTTTATTCTTTTTCATTTATTTATTTATTTATTTAATTTATTTATTTATTCATTCATTCATTCTTGTCCAAGTATTCTTGGGAAAGACTTGCTACCAATGGTCAGGTCA